GATCTATCCTCACAACACTCATAAACATGGATAAAGAAGATCACTTTAATATATCTATCCTTCTAAGCTTTTGTAAACACTGTGGTGATGATTATGCAGGTTTAGTACCAAGAAAATGAGAATTCTGTCAGAAAAATATGAAATTCAGATACCAAGGGGTACTTTTCTACCTCCAGAAAAACAACAAAATGTGAGAGGTCTGTTAAGAGAGTACTTCAACTCTATTAGTAAACATTTGGTCAAGGACCACCAAGAAATGCAGAACTTTGAGAAACAAAATTTACGAATATTACAGACTAAAGGAGAGCTAAGTCAAGACAGAAAAGAAAAACTTGAAGCTATGCAGTCAGCATTTGATAAATTATTGCAAAATGCTCAAAGTTTTGCAGATATTTTAGATGAAGATATGCCAGAATTAAAAAACACAAAATATGCCAAAAAGTGAAGAGGTATGTATGTGAAGCATTATTCTTAGGTATGTATGATTCATATTAACATGTAACAATTTTTATTATTTCAGAGTATGATAATAACTGGGTCAGGTACAGACATAGATGACTTTGCAATAAATGCTGAGAATATATGGTGCGATACTGAGACTCAGAAGTTTTATTGTGACCTTCCAGAATTGACTGTTTTCCTTCCAACTGCATTTTTAAATAAAGGTCAAAATGTTCCTACTAATGAAATTACTGAAGAGGTGCTCGATTCTGAGCTTCCAGCAGAAGAACTCGAGGATGATGGTACACATTTCCTTTCCACTCTAAAAATATTGCTCTGTTCTTATGAATCATTCTGTATAGGAAGGACTATTTTAATGAAATTAAATTTTCTATCCAGTCTTATTTCATGTTGCAAAAAGCATCACACATGAGGTGTCAAAATTACAGTTTCACTACTTTGAATGATTTTCATGATCCACCTACTAAAATATACTGACATATAAATCCGAACACCCAGGTTAAATGGTTTTATTTTAATAAAAGTTGGTGATATATTTATCTTACTGTAAATAACAAGTGAAAAAATGTTCAGCCTTATCACTTGGACATTCCGGTTTTATACTGGTTTTTTTTTAATTCACTAACACTCTAAAATGAATATTTCAGCCGCAGTAAAGAATCAACGTTGGCGGATTTTGGTTCTTGACATCCTTTACGATCGGTTACGATGCCTAGAGTACGGAGACCTGTACGATTTCGTCAACTTAGTGAGCTTGATAGGGACCGTATAGTGGGACTTTGGGAAGCTGGACTTTCTTTTCGGGCAATTGCAGTTAGAGTGCAAAGAAGTGTAGACACTGTGGTTAGGTGTTGTCAGGCAGGGCTTCGAGAAGGTCGTACGCAAAGAGCAAGGGGCACTGGACGCTGTAGAACAACAGACCGTGAAGATCGCCTTAAGAGATCGTTTCTCCACTACCAGGTCCATTGCAAATTAATGGTTTGCAGAACACGGAAGACCTATTGGCATGCGAAGTGTTTACCGACGAATGAGAAGTTTTGGCTTGTTTTCATACCGGCCGCATTTTAACACTATGGTATAGGATTCGGCACCAGCCTTAATCTTATTGGTCAATTTCAATTTATTCAACCAATAACAAGCCGGGTGCCGAAAAAATCACTACCGGAATGTTAAACAGTGCTGAGCATCGGGTCAGAATGTTATCAATTAAATTTAAATTTACTTACCTTCCGCTAAAAATACGTAAGATAATAATCAACGCACGTTGTTTCCTATTACGATATTTAATGATTTTAAAATTAATAATTTGGTTTAGCAATAAGAAAAATTACACGAAAAATTTATATACATATATTTATATAGGTGAAAAATTAAAGCTTCCGCCTTTTGTTGGGTACTTCGACAAAATTTAAGCAAGGAGGACTCCTTATACTTTTTTATTCTCTCTAGCTTTCAATGGTCTTTGCCATCATCAGAGAGTAGTAGTATGTGAGGATGTTTACGTTAAGGATGAGGGAAGCACCCAGTAACATGTGAAAGCTGGATAAATGGTAGAAAGGTCAAAATTATATAAAATACACACAGCTGCATGACAAGAACAAGTTAAAAACAGATAAAAAATTTTTTAGAAATTGGAAGTTAAACATTACATCGTGAAGCCATGATGATTGGACAAAATGGTGGGCATGTGCAGTTTTGAAATTTTTATCATTTACTTATTATGCTTCATTAAGTACTTATACAAAATTTTATTAAAATAAAACCATTTAAACTGGGTTTCGGATTTATGTGTCACTTAGTATATGTGCTGCATTTTGAAGAGGCCAAATTTCAATCAGCTTTCAGCAGTAACATTTCAAAATAAGTCAAAGGGGGTTGAAATTTGAACTAAAAAGTTATTGTACAAAGCAGTATGTTCTTAGCTCAAAGAGTATTCAATCTGTTAGTAACAATGTTTTTATGAGATAAATATTATATAGGAAAGCTGGAGGAACCTTCAGCAGCTGTTGCAGAAGAAGAGAATGAAGATCCCTCTACAAGTACAGCAAGCAATAAAATTGTGTTGGAGGCATTTCTGAATAATTTACCAAATTGTGTCAATAGAGAAATGATTGATAATGCTGCTATTGACTTCTTGGTAACCTTGAACAACAAGCATAATAGAAGAAAGCTTGTGCGCGCATTATTTGGTGTTAATAGGTAATGTTTTTCTTTATACACCATAATTTAATAGTAACCTTATAAAATGCTTAGAGAATTCCTCTTGATTCAAAAGCAATGTTATATCTCTATTTTGGACATGTTCAACATCTCAAGGTTTTTTGATTTGCTAAAATTGTTCAGCTAATGTTTCAAAAACACATTTTAATTTGTCCCCTATATAAACTGGAATAGTATTGGAAAACCAGTATTGCATAAACTGTGGGATTATCAATTTTCAAGGCATTTTTCAAATTTTGCAGTATTGTTCTCATGTATTTCACTTTCTTGTCATCGGTTTTTGAACATTTCTATACATTCTACTTTTATGAGAACTAGAATATAATGAGCTCATAAAACCCCTTGTAAATGCTATATGGATATCTTAGGAACAAAGCAACCATCTCTATAAAATATGACCAAAGAAAAATCCTATATTGTGGTTATTAACCTTGAATCTTCTGTTACTAGCTTGATACATTTTCTCTCTGAAACAGGACGCGGTTAGACCTTCCATTCTATGCCAGATTTGTTGCAATTTTGCATCCAGCTTTGCCAGAAGTAGGAGCGGAACTGTGCCAGATGCTCAGACAAGACTTCAAATATCATGTGAGGAAGAAGGATCAAATCAACATTGAATCGAAGATTAAGGTTGTGCGCTTCATAGGAGAGCTTGTTAAGTTTAAGCTCTATTCCAAAATAGAAGCTTTATATTGTCTTAAAGTATTACTGCACGATTTTTCGCATCATCATATTGAGATGGTGTGCAATTTGTTGGAAGTGTGTGGTAGATTTTTGTATTGCAGGTTAGTTAAAATTAATGTTAAAGGTAACTGTCCAGTGAAATCTAATAGTAATTTAGTAGTCGTTTATGTTCTTAAGGCTGTGAAAAATTCAGTTCGCGCCTTAGGTCCTAACACAAGGGACACAGACACTCTTATGCCTGGATACATATACGGCTAGCTAAAATCGAAGACGCAACGAATAGATCACGAGAGTTCTTGTGAGCACCATATTTTGATTCACCTAGGGTGATTTATATATAGCGGGCGGTAAGCTTACTTTCATTTCATTTATTTATTCATGCTAATTCAAAAAAATGCTTACAATCGTCATTAACGTAGAAGAAAAATCATATAACATGAAAGCCACTTATATGGTACATCAAACTTAAACATTTTGAACAATCACAGCACGTTAAAATCAGTATTTAGAAAATCATCAATGTTGTAAAAAGCATTTTGGATCAAAACATTTCTAACACGAGTCCTTAAAACATTTAAAGGCAGTAATTTTATTTTTAAAATTTGTTGAAAATCTCCAATATATAGAACCAAATTTCTCTTATTTCTGGTATTTGTGACATTTTCGAAGGTTTGGTATAGATCCCCTTTTGTCTTGGCAAGCATGAAGCACTCATACACATACAGACTTGGTATGGTCAGCAGCTTCCATTCAATAAACACATGCTTGCCGTCGTCTCTGTATTTTAGCGCTGCCATCAATCTAGCATGTCTCCTCTGCAGCCCAAACACTAGCTGCCTCAGCAACCAATAATGCTATGTTCGACTGAAATAGTGTGAAGTAACAAATACGAAGTATATTTGGCGACACTTCTCGCAGTAAGTTGCGGAAAACATTAATATTCTGCGAACATTTTACGGATATAACATCAATGTGGCTTTTCCATTGGAGCTTAGGCTCATGTGTCACGCCAAAAAATTTACATTGTTCTTCATTTTGGATGTTTATTTCTCTAGTAGAGAACAAAACTTTCTTATACTTTCACCATTTAGCAACAACTGGAATGAAACTAGATTTTGGCTGTTTGCTGTTGAACTTCCATGTCAAAGAGCTAGCTGCAAGAGATATTGATGTGTCATCTGCAGAAAAGGTATATTTGGGCATTATCCCATTATTTGGGAGATCAGTAATATGTATGAGAAAGAGTATGATACCTAGGACAGAACCTTGTGGCACTCCTACAGATATCTTCCTCTTTGCAGCCCTCTTTAGCATCCTAGAGGGTAAAAGGAGTTTGTGATCTGAATAGTGGGACTTCGCATAACAAATCTAAATCCGCTCGGTCAGAAATAAAATTTATTGTGAAAACAATTTCATAAACACTCCAACCCAAACATTAATGCCAAACTGTTGAGTACAGAATTTATTTTTATGTAGCCCCGACTCCCACCAAAGGACAAAAGTATATCTGGAACAAATGATGCGAAAAAAGTCTGTAATGGCTTTAGACTCAAGATATGTAACACAAATAGAGAATGCTTATTACTATGTGAATCCACCTGAAATGGTTTCTGTGGCAAAGAAGAAAGACCTCCGATACATCAGTTCATCAGGAAGATATTATTTCAAGTATGTATGAAAAAACCTTTCTGTCACTTCGGCCGTCTTCACAGTGCAACATGTATAATTATGATTTTAACATTCTCCTTTGTAGGATTTGCAGAAAAACAATACTGAAAAAATTATGAGATTGATGAGGAAGTTGGATTGGAACAGTCCAGAAATGTCTGCATACTCCATAAAATGTCTTACTGCAGTCCATAATTTAAAGTATTTCAACATAAGGTACATAGTCTTAGTCTAGTTTTTTCTTATCAACTTTTCAAGTTACCAATTTTAAGAATATTTGTATTTGATACAAATACTAACCTTATAGGTGTAATATCAAATCCATTGTCATGGGACTTTATTTTTGTTCTTGGAAAGTGAAGTTCGTGTATCACTTCATAGGTGGTAGACGGTTTCAGAGTGTCAAACATGAAGGTACCACCTCCCTGTCTCCAAGGGTATTTAGGTCGTAGCCCTTCGCGGTAGTTCTAATATATATATATATATATATATATAAAATAGAACTCAAGGATTAATTTTCCTAGTTATAATTAGCGTCACTTGTATAGTCTTCCTTACAAATTACTCTCTGGGCTACGACTTGCAACATATTTGTCCAAATATTCTCTATATCTAACATTGCTTATTAAGGTGTTTGGCAAACCTACTGGCTGGTCTGGTAGCATATCAAGAAGAAGTAGGTACCAAAGTTGTTGATGGTGTATTGGAAGATATTAGATTAGGAATGGAGGTCAACCTGCCAAAATTTAACCAACGGCGTGTAGCACAAGTGAAGTATCTTGGAGAACTGTATAACTACAGAATGGTGGAGAGTTCAGATATCTTCAAGGTATATAAAGATTACTATTTTTTCTGATGTGTTGTTGTAGTATTTATTATGGCTACATTTATCGCCAACAACATTTCAGGTCCTATATTCTCTAATTTCTTTTGGCGTATCAATGGATCCTAATGAACCTTCACCTTTGGATCCGCCTGACCACCTATTTCGGATAAGGTTAGCTTGTGTGTTATTAGAAACTTGTGGTAAGTATCTTGTATCAATTGAAAAATAATGTCATTGACAGGTCCATTTTTTTCTTAAAACTGTATTCATACAAGAAAATAATGTTTCTCGATAAGAGATTCCACGCAGCGGTCATTGTGCAACTGAGTTCCACAAAAACTTATTAACTTTTGCTGCACCTTTTCATGATTTTTTCTTATTGGTCTCAGATCTTGCTATTTGTTTAATGTGTGTTTTCAGGTACATATTTTAGCAGCGGAACTAGCAAAAGAAATTAGATTACTATCTTGTATTCCTCCAAGCTTACTATTGGTTCAAGAAATCGCTTTGGAAGGATGCATTCCCGCCTATACTGGAACACATTTACAAGGACACATTAACGACACTGAGACCAAAAATGAAGCAATGTCAAAGTTATGAGGAAGCTTTAGAAGAATTGGAAAAGATTAGAACCGCTTTAGGAGTTGGTAAGTTATTAAAATGTGGTAAAACATATTGTATGGTAAAATTTTCGATGATGTTCACTCACTTTGTCTTAAGACTTAAAAGATCTGGCGTAACCAAAAGATATCAATTTCATAGCTTATTGACGAACCAGTCTTGTCAGGTGGTCGATAAATGCTCACTGATACGTGACTTGACTGAAAGTGACAATTCATCAAGTAACTTGTAGTTTAGATATGTTGCTCTTATTTTCCAGAAAAACTGTTAGAAATGGATAATAAAGTGAACTCAGAAGAAGGCTTGGATACGATTACAGAAACAGATAATGAAGAAGCAGGCGATGAAGAAAATTCAGAATGTGTAACTGGTCCTATTACAGATGACACCGCCACCGAGGATGAAACCGTAGATCATACCCAGGCATCAGATGACGAAGGTAATCAGTTGCAAGTGTGATCAGCATGCAGTTTGGTTACATGGATTGTCTGGCAGATTTACTTTTCTTAATGTTCCAAATATATAAATATTGTTTTGGAGAGGTCAACCCAATTTACAGGGTGCTTATTTGAAACTTCCACCACGGATTTATCGAAAACCACTGATTAAAAGAAAAAAAACGCCCGAGCGACACGTCAAAAGATTTGTCAAGGGGGACAAACTTTTTTAGCCAAAAAACTAATTCACCCTCGGCTCCAGGGTCATTCCTTAAAAACATTAAATACAAGGGTGTATCGAGTAATAGGCTTGTTTGAAAGGTTTTAGAGTCCTTATTTTGACGTTTAATTTTTTAAAGATCACTCAATTCGTTTTTTGAGAAACTTTGAAAAAATCTTTATTTATCTTAATTGTTCAGACAGAAAACAAAAACACGAAAATATCACTTTTATTTCAATAAGTGTTCAAATGTTGCCCGTTAGGGTTTGCCAAATCTACAATTCGTTTATAATTTAAACGGAAACTACCAACATAAACAGGAATTCAGAAGATTAGACGTGTCAACAACCAATAACAACCAGAATTTTTCCGCATTCTTTTCATCAACACAGATGTCCTCGGTGAACTGTATTTTATTGTTATACCTGTTTAGTTATTTGGTTATTTGTTGCTAAGGGAAAGAAAGAATTTAATTTGCTGTCAGTTACCTTTGTGAGACAATCTTTGGATAGTGAAAATTAATTTATTTATTCAGATTTTACTTCCAAAATGGTTTACACACTAGCCGAAAGAGTGGAAATGATTCCAATTTATGGTGCCCAAAATCAACGTGCTCGGCAAACTGCCGTAACGTTTAACGCCAGACATCCGGAGAATATAACTTCGCATAGTTATGTTTTGGACCTTGTTACTAAATTCACTCAAACTGGATCTGTTGCAAATAAAAAGTGATCATCGGAGAGTTTTGGATTATGCCGCTCAAGTTGAAGTTTTGGTTTATTTTGGAATAAATCCTAATAATCATTCACAAAATTGTTGCTGCGACTGGTATTTCATTAGGCTCTGTACACACAGTTACTAAACTCCATGAATTTCATCAATTCAAAATGAAAATATTGGAAGAGTTAACCGAAGATGATTTTGATAGGCGAGTTGAGTTTTGTGAACAAATGACTGTGGAGATTAATGATAATACCATTTATGTAAATATCTGCTTCCGTGATGAATGCACATTTTATCTAAATGGATTTGTTAATAAGCATAACTGCAGGTTGAAAATGAAAATCCTTATGCTTTTGTAGAAGGGCATACCCGGGACCCCCAAAAAATTAATGCATGGGAAAGCATTTTAGGTAACAAAGTGATTGGGCCATTGATTAGTAATGGAAATTTGAATGAAGACATTTATTTGGATTTGTTGGAAAATACCATCAATCCGCGTATCACTGAAACTTTTGAAAACCAAATCAAAGAAGATGGAAATCCTATACTTGATGAGGCTGAAATATATATTCGAGCAAGATGGCGCTTCTCCTCACTATGTTCTTCCGGTTCGGCAATGGCTAGACGACGAGTTTCCAGATAAATGGATAGGGCGAAGAGGGCCTATAGAATGGCCTGCTAGATCTCCTGATTTGACTCCATTAGGCTTTTTTCTATGGGACCATTTGAAATATATTGTGTTTACTCCCCACCCTGAAAGTTTGGATGAACTTAGTCAACGCATCATCAAAAGCTGTCACGATATCCCACAACATGTTTTTGAAAATGTCCATCAGGAATTTGAATATCGCCTATATTATTTTTGGTCAATAACGGGCAACATTTTGAACACTTATTGAAATAAAAAGTGATATTTTCGTGTGTTTCGTTTTCTATTGAACAAATTAAGATAAATACAGATTTTTCTAATATTCGTGAATACGAATCGACCGATTTTAAAAAATCAAACGCCAAAATAAAAGACTTCGAAATATCTTTCAAACAAACTATTACTCGATACCCCGTGTCATTCATAATTTTTAAGGGGATTACCCTGGGGGGCAGAGGGTGAAAGGGAGTGAAGTAGTTTTTGATTAAAAAGATGTCGCTCTTGACACAACTTTTAACGTTTCATTTAATCAGTGGTTTTCGATAAATGCGTGGTGGGAAGTTCCCAAATCAACACCCTGTATACTAGATATAGGATCTTAAAAAAAAAAACAAAATTATTAGTATTGCTAAGCCACGAGTTTATTCAGTAATTTACCCATAAAACTGCTTTCAATTTCATTAAATTATTATTATTGTACATTAATTGGAATTTTGTAGTTGACCAGTTAACTAGTGAGACTGAACAAGATGGCATATCTGAATCTGTGGCTATTCCAAAAGGTCCCAAAAAAGTAGAGTGCCAGAAGATTCAGATTTCTTGAATGCTTTGGAAAAAATGGTTCCGAGAATATCCAAGAGAGAATGAAAGAGCCTGTTAAAGCCACCAATGTTGACATATCAGTACCTGTTATATTAAAGTCAGGCGTCAAGAAGACATATGAACAGCTGCAGGTAGAATACATTACTGTATTAATTTTTTTTGTATCCACCAAGGATAGATAACCAAAGCAATAAACTTGTCATTTACTTCAAATGACTAGATTATCAACAGTTTAGTGATAAGATACGAAGCTTAAAATATTGCGTCTCGACTGTTATACACTCTCGTTTAAAATTTTCTGGACACTTGATACTTAGACTGAGAAAAGAATGAAAGGAGGTCAGAAAAAGAAATAAAATTTTAATATAAACGATTATTGTTTATGTTTCTATATACTATAATATGTGCTTGAAATAATGATAGGAAGACAAATACAGCACAAGCAATATTTGCGCATCCTTTTGGTGAAATATTATTTACTTACAAAAAGGTACAGGTTTTTTTGTACTAGAATTTTGAATTTGAAATTGTTTATTCACTCTGGGCTATTTAAAGATTTTGGAAGGTCATAAGTCATTTTCTGAAGAAGCTTTGAACAAACCATTGATCTCATCTGATTCAGCATGCTATACAGAATCGACTCGAATTATCTTGTGTTATTATCTCGACAAACAAAAAAGTTATCACGATAGTTCTGCGCCATTGTAGGTAATTCAGCAAAAAAAAAACGAAAAAATCATATCTCGTAACCGTATCCCTTAGAGCATTACGGTTTCCACCAAAATCATCAAATAGCGTACCCAATTACCCATATTCTTTTGTCGGTTCATGTTGAAACACCCTGTATAAAGTTTTAACTGGTAAACATATATGCCTCCATGGACTTTCAGAAATGTCTTGTAAAGGAATTATTAGAAAGACATCACAAGGTAAACCAAAAGCATCTACAAGGCATAAACAAGAATCCGACCATTCACCGTTACGTCTAATCGTGGCGACATTTCTTGAATGGGTATACATTCAGACAAAAAAAAACAAGCCAATATCCAAAAGATGCATAGTCTGTGCCAAGCCGAAAGTAAGGAAACAAACAAGTTATGCATGCAAAGGTGTGATGTTCCTCTTTGCATTGTAATTGTTTTGAGCGATATCACACTATATAAAGTATTAAGTTAATATTTATAACTAAATACTTCAGATTTGAGTAGTACATTTTTTACATAGCTTCTAGTTCTGTATAACAATGTTTCATAATAAAAATATTGCTACATGATGTACAGTTTATTTTTTAAATATATCTACAGGTCAAATATATTATATAAAAATTAATAAATAAGTTAAGTTCACTCTCATTATCTCATGTTGATTTTGGATTAAACTAAGGGAAACGACCGTAGACGCTTAGACTGTCCGCTCAGCACAGAGAGCACATCTTTAAAACCAACTCAGCAGTGAAAGGGTTAAAGGAACATGAAATCACAAGCTTTTGCTAACCTAGTGATTTCCACTGGTAGAAGACTATCGGGCCATGACTCATTATGCAACCAAAACAACGACTAAACTGAACTGTGTAAAAACTGTTTGTTCAAAAATAATTGGACCACAATTGCAAACCAAGAAATTCTCCTCTTCTCAGTAAAACAGTGTGTTTACAGTCATTTTTTGACTTACATATCAGACAAGGGAGTAAAATAAAGAAACTGATGGCTTAATATTTCGTTATATTCCCGCTATATGATCCAGCTTCTATTTCTTTTTTCATCCTTAATCATCGACCATCATGGGTGCGGAAACTTTTGAATGATGTGTATGTGTTTGATAATTTCCAGGATTCAACGACCGAAGATAAAGAAGCTAAAATAGACTTTGTATTAATGGTTCGTAAGGGAAACAAGCCAATACAAACAATTTGAAGCTCCAGTAGATTCCGAATTGGCACAAAACCTTCGAGATCAAGAGCAAATGCAAAAAGAAGAGAAAGAGAAAGTTAAACGTCTCACGTTGAATATCACAGAGCGTTTTGAAGAAGAAGATTACCAAGAGATGATCCAACAGCAAAATAGACCAATTACACAAAATCTGAACAGAGAAAGGAAGAAATACCAGCATCCCAAAGGGGCACCTGATGCTGATTTGATATTTGGGCCAAAGAGAGTTAGATAGTTGATCCTAAGCAGAATTACTGGAATTTGGCTTATCTGCTTTTTGATAATCATTTTGACGTTTTTCTATGTGAAACAAAAGATTGTACGTACGATTAGAAGATCAGTTCGAGTTACTAACGTACTGATTCTCACAGATGCTCTTCTAACAAGAAAAACTTTAAAGAATACTGAAAACCATTAGATCTGTTATAGTAGTGTTTCTAACACTTATCAGAAGAACGGTTTGATTTTGTTTGGTTTACTGTTTTGAAATGAACTACATGACAAAGAAACAAGTATTTTTCTTCCACCTCTATCCCCTTCTGCATGACTTCTAATTTCTAATGTTTCAAATCTTCCATCAGGCTGTCTTCGATGTATTGGAAATCAAATGAAATGACATGGCGTGAACACAACGCCATTGGCATGCGCCACATTATGATGTTGCATTGGTTTGTGAGTAACTGTCAATTGTGCTTTATATTTTGCTCTTGCAAAACGCTGTTTGGTAATGTTGAATTCAGTTCTTTGCTGATGATTTTCGAAAGCCAAATTGAAGGCCAATGGGGATCTTGAATCTATTAGAGAGTATGCAAATAGTCAAAACCTTCAGTTAAGCCCCCCAAAATCAAAAATCATTTTTTCACCAAAACCTTTTAGAAACATTATTGAAAGAATTTTAATATAAGCCTAATGGTTCCACTACTGAGGGAAATGAATTGGTAAAAAATTTGGATATTACTTTTGATGAAAGTTAAGTTTATACCACACGTGAACAATGTGAGTAAGAGTTGTTTCTCCATTCTTCGCAAATTATACCTCCATAAACAATTTCTTAACTATAAAACTAAACAAAACTGGTGTGACTCGCTAAGTATCTTAATCACCTGCTGTGATATACAGGGTCTACCAATAGGAGTTCTCGAGAAGATTTTGGCCAACGTGGACGGCCTTCTGAGCTTGCAATAAGGTGCACAGTTGATAAGTTTGAGCGGGAGTGCAACTTCCTGAATAGTAAGCCACCAACGCGACTAAGAAATGCAAGGAGCGCTGAAAATATCGCGGCTGCAAAAGTGTCAACGCAAATGTGTCTGTTCTGCGTCGTTCTCAGCTTAGGCCTTTCACTGATGTCAATGTGGCGCTTTTGAAGAAGGATTTTGGCCTACATCCATATAAAATGGTTCTAAAACCAGAACTGAAGCCTGCCGATCATGGTTTGCGAAGAACGTTTACCGACTGGGCCCTGTTGCAGTTGGAACAAAATGTCGATTTTGGTAAACAAATTATATTTTCAAACGAGGCGCATTTTTGGCTTAGTGGCGTTGTCAATACGTAAAATTGCCACTTCTGGTGTCAAAACTATCCACAGAAATAAGCCGAAAGGCCATTATACCCGATAAAAGTGACTCTGTGGTGTGGTTTGCATGTCGGTGGAATTATCGGTCCCTATTTTTTGATGACGCAGGGGGGCATACTGTGACAGTCAACGCAGAGCGCTACCACGACATGATAACTCTTTGGCATGCAATTGATGGTGGAGCCTTGGAACAGAAGTGGTTTCAACAGGACGGAGCAATATCACACACTACCCGAGACACAATTAATTTAAGAGAGCGTTTTGAGGATCGAATAATTTCGCGACATGATCATATCAACTGGCCACCAAAGTCCTGGCCTTTTTTCTTTGGGATACGTGAAGTCGAAGGCGTACACTAACAATCCTCAAACCACCTACGATTTGAAAGTTAACATCAGCCGAGTTATTCGCGAAATTCAGCCCAACTTGTTGGAAAGTCATTGAAAATTGGGTTTATCGTCTAAACATCTGCCGCCGCAGCCGAGTTGAGCATCTTGATGATATCTTATTCAAAACATAATGTTACGTAATAGACTACGAGATAAAACATCAATCATAGAAATTTATATTTTCGTTTTATTTTTTAGCAATTTGAACTTATATAATTCTTATTGGTAGACCCTCTAGTTTACCTTCCTTAAAAAATTCAAAATTCTTGTTGCAGATTGGTCAACAACTTAAGAAAGTATGATCACATCAGCTCTTTTATAAAAGGTATGAACTGGTTGAGGATTAAAGAGCCACAAGAATTACACTTAATTTGTTATACCTATACATCCGTACCTCCGTTTCTGAAAAGTAAACAATTCTTCTGTTATGCTTTTTTGTACAAACATAGTCGTGATAATTAAATGGATATAAAAATTGGTGGAGTTTCATTGCCATCAGTGGATTCAGCTAAAAATTTAGGTTTAACGTTTGGTAGCTCCCTGCGGTTCAATGCACATCTATCCGTTACATTAAAAGAATGCTGCTTCATTTTGAAACGATTTTACTGTAATAAGCATTTTGAATTTTAAAACACGGAAAAAATCATGTGAATCTCTGGTATTCCCTATTATTGCTTATAACATTAGGTACTATTTACTATCCATGTCTGGATGCTGAATCGAAAATAGGTTACAAAAGTTTCAAAATACCTGTTGCAGATCTATCTACAATCTTAAAAAGTATGATTCAAAGTTGGGAAAAATAATTGAGCTAAAATGGTTGAGAATAGACGATATGTATAGATACTTAGTTGATACTATGATACATAAAATAATAACTTCACAGTCTCCCCCTTACTTATATAGGAAATTATTGCTTCACGGAAGAAGTGATATCAATTTCAGATTCAAAAAACGACCTGAAATTCCACTAAACAATACGACACTATTCCGTCGGTCTTTATATATATAATTCAATCAAAGTATACCATGACGTATCTGATAACCTCAAAGCGTTTTCTTTAGCTAACTTTAAGAGGAGTGTGAAAAATAGGTTACTTGATTAGGTATGTTGCCCCGCATAACGGTGGGAATTTTTGGTTTTACCTTGATCTTTCTTTTTCTCTTTTTTTGATGCAGTATGGGACTGTGTTAATTGTTGCGTTGTTATTTAAAGTCATCTATAGTTTTTGTTATCTAAAATAGCTCTAATGTTTTACTCTGAGCCTGTTTTTTTTCATTCAATATATTATTTTAATCATTAACTAATAATAATACAAGCCGAGTCTCTAACACGTGTTGGTTGCAGATTTACCAGATATAGCTAAGTTTTCAGCGTGGGCTCATAGATTCAGTCTACTTAACGCCATTTTACAACACAAATGACGAATTGGTTAGATACACGTCACTGACGGATTCTTTAGGCCAGTGGTTAGTACATCTGATTTAATTGTTCTCAACCCATACTTTCGGTTTGTATGGCCTGCATTTATCCAGGTTTCATCCAAGTAATAAATGTTCCTGCTATGGTAGCGGTATTCTTTATTGATTTTAAATAATTTCTTCTACATGAAATAATCCCTTTCTGTCCATCAAAATTCTATTTCTGCCCCGTTTTCTATACTCAAAATGAAGTTCTTTGAATAAACTATAGAACGTGGTCCTTTTGGAAGTATGTGAATCTTCATCACTGTTAACCTCCTGTAATACTTTGTCTTTGGTGAAAAGTACCTGCCTTACAAAAAATTGATGGCCTTTGCGGCTGATGGCATTCCGATCAAAGTTATCAACTGTATCCAACAGCTTCGTGTTATGCAGCCTCTTGTTTGGTGGAGGCAATTTTTTGTTTTTATATTCTTCAACAATGTTGTAAATTGTCTTAGGACATAAGCCTGTTTTGTTCGCGACAATATCATGAATTTTCATTTCAGGATTCTCTAAAATTTCGCTCTTATAAACGTTAAGTACCAATTCTTTTGCCTGAATATTCAAATGTCCCTTCTTGTCACGTCTTTGGGGACGAACATCAGTGAAGAGGAAGCATGGCTGCAGGAAGCACTGAGAGAATATTCTCAGTTTCATCAGCTGTATCCGTAGCCGACATGCTAACGTATAAACACACGCTATGTATGCACCGAATATGAACAGCAGCTGCCGGTGTCGGCCATGCCTGAGTTCTATCCTGTCGAATCCTGCACTTGTTCGTAGTTTTATGGCCGAATGGCCCATAGCTATTGCAACGCTTAGTCGGCTACCGCTTTGCTGCGCTGCACCTTTGTTGTGCCGGGGTGTAAAACTGCGACAGGTTCTTATTCTATCTTCGTTGCGCTTACTCGGCGGATACCTCCGAACCACAATATCGGTTCAGCGCTGGTACTGTCTACCACTCATATATTTTTCGAAAATAAACAGGTAGGTATTTGAAACGTCAAAAAACAAAAGTATGGACGATTTTTACTTCTTCCTGTTTTCGTCTGTAGATATCCACATTTAATAAAAACTGGACTAACGCAGAATTCGGACTATGTAATATTTGTGTTTAAATTATTCCTGCCAAATATTCGTATATAGTCGATCCCTTGCAAAGTCAAATTCAGTGCATTTGCATATTAAATGTCATTTACCTTTAAAGCGGACCCCATTTTGTATAACATCCATTGGTAGAATTAAATCATTGAAAATCACTGAAGAAATTGAATAGGACACATAACATTAATCTCCCATTTTATTTTATCATGTATTACTGTTTTTCTGTGAAATAATAATAGATTCATAGTATAACTTACATAGAGTTACACTCAATGAAACAAGAAATTAAAAAAAAAAAACGGAATCCGACCATAGAATTTAGAGTTCTCAAAAGATCTTTAATTCAATTGTAAGCGTTATTTTGTAACATGTTGAAACCATGTTGATTACCATTGAAATTTTGATTTTTGTGTTATATAAACAGGTAAAAATAAGATATTTGAACTACTAGAAGAGGTGCAATTTATTTTGCTAATTAACGAGCATCAATCATTGATTTTTTTGTACATAGTCAAACATTCCAACATTCAGCTTGAAAGATGTTGATTTTAATAAATACAGAAAAGTGAAACAAAAATCGAGTCCAGCCCTGGTTTTTGTCCGTCCGTCTAATTTACGCTACTCCGAAAGCGCCTACACACCTTGCTGTATGATGCCATGCCTGAATCGACTCAACGTTTCGTGAAACTTGCATCAGTTGCATACGTACCTACTCAAATCGAAACCTGTTGTGATGCCTGACTCGACTCGATGTTTCATGCAACACAAGATCAGTAGGGAGAAGTTATTTCTAAAACCTATGTTTCTTCTGAATACTCTTTAGCCTTGTATCCTAAAGACACGTATGTAGATGATGAATGTTTATAAACTCTTCCCAAAATTCTCGATCACTCTCCATCATGGAATTTACACACACAAACAACAAACGTACCTTGTAACGGTTTCACCGTCCGATCGTATTTAT